GAAATAACACACAAATCCAATTTTAGGATGTCTTGTTTTGTTCCAGGGACATAAAACCAAATCATCTGAGGAAAGCAGGAGTTGCAGACACAGGGATAACCCAACTGAAACAACACACAAATCCAACTTTAGGATATTTTAGTTTGTTCCAGGCAGTTGTAAGAACACAAACCCAAAACACCTGACCAAAGCAAGAGTTGCACACACACAGAACCCAAGTGAAATAACACACAAATCCAACTTTAGGACGTTTTGGTTTGTTTTAGAGACACAAACCCAAATCACCTCACCAAAGCAGGAGTTGCACACACAGAGAACTCAAGTGTAATAACACACAAATCCAACTTTAGGATGTCCTGGTTTGTTCCAGGGACACAAACCCAAACCACCTGAGCAAAGCAGGAGTTGCACCCAGAGACAACCCAAGTGAAATAACCCCCAGTTGCACTCCTGAGCTGTTTTGCTCCGTATCTCCAGACACCCAAAGCCTCCCCTACGCCCATTTCTTCCTCGAGGCACCGCCAGCCCGTTTCTCAGGGAAAAGGAATCGGGATGAATAGTCCCATAAAGAATCCCAGCAGAGCTTGTCCTGCCCGGAGCCGCCACCACGCCAAGGTCCAACTCTCAATTAACCCCCGGCCGACCTTCCTTCACTTTCTTTCCCCCTCCTCTGCCCTTCCTGAGAAAGTTCAGCGTTTCCTGGAAAAGTCTCCCTGCCTGTTTGATATTGTACTTCGCCTTGGTTGCTGAAGGAAGGATTTACAGGTGCCTGGCCCCCTCTGGAAGACCATGACCGGAGGGTGACCTCCCGGTACAATATGTGAACTCCTGCCCTGCTGATAAGGCTGCCAGATATGAGTAGGATTTTTCAAATAATCCTTTGGGAATTTATAAGCAGCGCGGCCATAAAACCGAGGTGACTGGAAGGTCGATTTCACTAAAAATAATAAATATCCCGATGTTTATTCAACGTTGGGCCTTTTTAACTGCGGGCCGAGCGCCGAGATAACGCCATTGTAAATGACAAATATTGGGATTTTTTGGTAACTATTACATTATGATCCTTCCGTCTGACACTGATGTGGCCGTTTCCCTTCGATGCTTGCAGGATCCCTGACATTGTTCAGCCCAAGTTGGGCCTGGAAAGCCGGGGCAGGATTCAATCACGGGTCAGGAAAAGGGCAGTTTTCTTCTCGGGAGCCTCGGGAACCTTTTTCTGGTGCTCCCGTCTCACTAACACACCTTCTGCCCGGGGGTTTTTGGCCTTATCAGGGGTTTTGGTGGAAGTAGAGAAGGAGGAATGGGAGGACTGAGTGATCTCAGCTCAGGATGGGGACAGAGGACACTGACCTGCTGGCACAGAAGCCCTGCTCCAGGTTTAACCCTCGTTTCTGGTGGAAAAGACCTCAGAGACTGAGTCCAAGTCCAGCACTGCCAAGGCCACCACTGACCCATGTCCCCAAGGGCCACATCCACAGGGATTTAAAACCCCTCCAGGGATGGGGAACCACCACTGCCCTGGGCAGCTGTGCCAGGGCTGGACAACCCTTTCCATGAAAAAATTTTCCCAATATCCAACCTAAACCTCCCCTGGCACAACTTGAGGCCGTTTCCTCTCATCCCATCCCTCGTTTTTTGGGAGAAGTGACTGGTCCCACCAGGCCCCCCCCTCCTGTCAGGGCGTTGGGGAGAGACCATCATCAAGTCTCCTGCACTATTCCCACCTCCAGTAGAAGACAATCCCACCCAGATCCATCCCACGGAGCCGGCCACGAAACCTGCCTTGGAACAGCAGCATTTCCCTGATATATTCTGGAGGATGGACTGATATTTCAGATTAAAAAGTAAAGCAACAGGACAACAACAAAAAAAACCCCAACCAAATGTAGAAACAAAACCCACTTGGAATGCCAAACTGCTCCAGCCACCACCAGAATCCCTTCATCCTCCTCCTCATCCCACCTTCAGGTCCAAACACACCATTAAATCCACGCCGAGGCCCGTGAGCTGCTCCAGTATTATTCCTAATATCCTGTTTTCATCATCCATATTTTCCCCTGAAGTTTCTCCCACAGAAAGTGACACTTGGAAAGCCACGAAACCCCTCGGAGCAGTTTGTAATCTCCAATTAGCAAACGGACCGAGGAGGAAGGTTTTGTCCAACCTAAACACGGCGACGCGATTTCGGGGAGGGCAATTCCTTCATCCCGATAAAATATCCCGGCAAAGGAGCCAAATGGCATAATTATTAACAGCTGAGGGCACAGAAAGAGGTCTTATATAACTGGGGTTTTAGGACAATTCTTCTCCTTCAGCAAAATTCCTGCTGGAGAAACTTTGGAAGGGCCTTAAAAACAATTCCCTCTCGAGCCTGGCTCGGAAAGGGAGGAAAGCTGGGAACGGAGAGTTCCTTTCATGTGCTGCCTGGGCTCTGGAATGTCCAACCACGGGAGAAGAGCCCTCCAACAGCTCCCAAGCTCCTTAAAAAATAGATGCAGACGCCACAGGTTGGTTGGGTTGGTGGATGCAAAGCTTGGGAGCCGCCGGAGGCGCCTCGGGAATTACAAGTTGGAGGGTGAGCTCTGAAGAGAGCTTTTATTAATAATTAAATAATTTCATTTAATCTTAATATAAAAATAACAAAATAATTTAATTTCATAATCAATAATAAAATAATTTAATTTTATATTAATTTATCAGGAGGTTCCTCTGAGCTCCTGATAAATTAATAAAGAACAAATTAGTGCCTCACGTGCTCGTAATGACCAGGAGAAAGAGCAGCTCAAACACAGGAGATCTCCTAAAAGTTCTCCAGAGCTGACACAGCTCAGGGGGACAATTTGCAGCCCAAAAATGAGCCCTGACACAGAATAGTTCCAATTGGATCCCGTTTTTCCATCAGGGATGCGGGAGGGATCCAGCCAAATGTGGATTTGGTGGGATCTGGCAGCAAATCTGCCCCTGGTAAATGATGCTTGAAGGGCAGCAAAGTTCTTGCAGAGCAGCAAATAGTTCATTTCAAACCAATTCCTGCCCCAAAACTCCTCCATTTGCACTGAATAATCAATACACTGTGGCCAAAGATGAATTTTTGGAGGAAAAATATGTCAAAAAATAATAAAATCCAACCAATTCCTCCCCAAAATCCTCTATTTCATTGAAAAATTAAGATACTGTGGACAAAGGAGAACTTTTGGAGGAAAACTCTATCATGGAATCATAGAATCAAACCAATTTCTCCCCAAAACTCCTTCATTTGCATGGAAAAATTAAGATACTGTGGCCAAAGGTGAATTCTTGGAGGAAAACTGTGCCAAAGAATCATAAAATCATAAAATCAAACCACTTCTTCCCCAAAACCCCTCCATCTGTACTAAATAAATAATATACTATGGTCAAAGATGAATTCTTGGAGGAAAAATATGTGAAAAATCATAAAACCAAACAAATTCCTCCCCAAAACTCCTCTACTTCACTGAATAATGAAGGTACTGTGGACAAAGGTGAATTTTGGGAGGAAAACTATATCATGGAATCATAAAATCATAAAATCCAAGCAATTCCTCCCCAAAACCCCTCTATTTACATTGAATAATCAATATACTGTGGCCAAAGATGAATTCTTGGAGGAATAATAAGTCAAAAATCATAAAATTCAACCAATTCCTCCCCAAAACTCCTCCATTTGCAATAAATTAAGAATATTCTGTGGCCAAAGAAGAACTCTTGGAGGAAAACTATGCCAAAAAATCATAAAATCCAATCAATTCCTCCCCAGAACTCCTCTATTTGCATTGAATAATGAACATACTGTGGCCAAAGGTGAATTCTTGGAGGAAAATTAAATTAAAAAAATCATAAAATCAAACAAATACCTGCCCAAAACCCCTCTATTTCACTGAAAAATTAAGATACTGTGGGAAAAGATGAATTTTTGCAGGAAAACTATATCATGGAATCATAAAATCATAAAATCCAACCAATTCCTGCCCAAAACTCCTCCATTTGCACAGAATAATGAAGATTCTGTGGACAAAGGAGAACTCTTGGAGGAAAAATATGTCAAAAAATCATAAAATCAAACCAATTCCTACCCAGAACTCCTCCATTTGCATTGAATAATGAACATACTGTGGCCAAAGATGAATTCTTGGAGGAAAAACAAGTAAAAAAATCATAAAATCCAACCAATTCCTCCCCAAAACTCCTCCATTTGCACAGAATAATGAAGATACTGTGGACAAAGATGAGTTTTTGGAGGAAAACTGTATGAGAGAATCATTGAATCAAACAAATTCCTGCCCAAAACTCTTCTATTCTCACTAAATAAAGAAGATACCGTGGGCAAAGGTGAAAATATTGGTGGAAACTAAGAAATCTATACATTAAAAACTCAGGATTTGTGATAATTGGAGGGAACATCCCTTTATATTTCCGAGCTCTGCATTATATCATATTTCTGAATATTTCTGAACTCCAAGGGTTTTACCCAAATCCATCCATCCCTGGGCTATTTTCCAACTCAGGGAATCCACTTTTGAGGCAGAAATGATACATATATATATAAAAAATATAAATAAATATAAATAAATATAAATAAATATAAATAAATATAAATAAATACAAATAAATCAGCCCATGGGTCACTCACCAGGACAGAATAGATGTGCAGGCAGCGATAAACTGGGGAGAAATCCACCAAATCCTGGGCTCCAGGTACCTGGAAAACAGCAGGAGATGGTTGTGAAATATGTGGAATTTGTGGAATAAGTACAGGAAAGTGGAACCTCCCCCCCAAAAAAATCACATATAAAGTGCAACCGCAAAAAAAAGTCTATATAGGTAAAAGTGCAAGGCTGAAAAATAATCAATTAGGAATAAATGACACTGGGAAAAAAATCATATCTGGGTAAGTGCAGCTCTTCAAAAAAATAATATATCAATAAGTGTCACTCTAAAAAAAAGAAAAATCACATTTAGGGAAGTGCAAGTCTAAAAAAATATTAAAAAAAATAACATTTACGGAAGTGCAAGTCTAAAAAAATATTAAAAAAATCACATTTAGGGAAGTAAAAGTCTAGAAAAATATTAAAAAACAAATCACATTTAGGTAAGTGGAAGTCTAAAAAAATATTTTTTAAAAAATCACGTTTAGGTAAGTGGAAGTCTAAAAAAATATTTTAAAAAAATCACATTTAGGGAAGCACAAGTCTAAAAAAAATATTTAAAAAAAAATCACATTTAGGTAAGTGCAACTCTAAGAAAATATTATAGAATATGTATTATTATGTAATATATAAATAATTATCACTCCAAAATATCAAATACAGGTGAGAGCAACTCCGACACGAGCAGGTTCAACAGAGAGATTTCAGGTACAATAACCAAGTTGCTAATATATGGTTGTTATATAAGATTATATCTGATTTTATTTCAATTTTTTTTTAATTTTTTCAAGGTTTTAAAGCGGGAAAATGTCCTTTTAATGCTGATTTTGCCCCATTTCCAACCCCACTGCAGCAGATTCATTTTGACCAGGGGCTCCAACACCGGTCCCGGCGTCCCGGCACGAGTCCTTATGCAACTAAAGGGGATCAAACAAACCAAACCCAACTTATTCTTTAGATTCCCAGTTTGATTTGTTTTAAAATAAAGCTGGAACTGTTATTTTATTTTGCTTTTTTTTGTGTGTGTGTGCTCAGGGAAGAGGCGCCACAAAGGCTCCACCACCTTTCAACAACACGCCAGAGTCGTGAGCGGGGACGAGGAAGAGCTTTTTCCAAGGCTTGGGATGGAGGGAGGGAGGGAGGGAGGGAAAGGAAAGATCAGAGGGGGAAATTTGCATACAAGAGGCTCTTGTCCTTTGGAGATGTTGGAGGGAACACGGAATTAAAGCTTGTTGGCCGGGCCTGAAAGCCGAAGGAACCGTCCCCTTCTCCCCGAAAATCCGGAGAGCAGGGGCGTGTTCTGTTGACATGTGGTGGGGGAATTAAAAAAAAAAGAAAAGGGGGAGAAAAGATGAAAGGGCCCAATGGACAGGCCTTGGAAACATGTTTATTTTCTATATTTTTAATTGTGCTTCTGAGGCCTTTGGGCTGGGAAGGAGGTGGGATGAAGAAAGAGGAGTTTCGGGATGAAGGAAGGTTTGCCAACCTCGCGCCCGGGGCGAGGGTCCCGCTCGGCTCAGCCAGCAGGGAGGGCAAAGGGATGGGCTGGGAAGGGAAAACGGGGGATTCTGGGAAAGAAACTCCTGGATCATGTGGAACTGGTGGTAAAGAATCTCCTCCATGCAAAGGAACTCAGGGCTCGGCCACGCAGAGCTTCTCGGTGGGAGGGGAAATGATGGAGCACGGACAGGTTTGGGTTGGAAAGGAACTTAAGGATCATCTCATTCCACCCCCCTGCCCTGGGCAGGGACACCTTCCACTAAAGCAGGTGGCTCCAATTCCCAAAAAGAAAGATACAGAGACAGAAAGTGAAGCTACAGACGTGGGAATATCCAAACCTGCATCATCAGCATCACATCCAGATCCCAAAAAAACCTGTCATTCCCAAGCCATCAGTGCAGGGAAGGGAAGCAGAAGGCTTGCTGGGAACAAGGCAGCAAAGAGACTTAATTTTTGGGGTGCTGTGAACCCACTCAACCATCCAACTGCACTTTCTTTCCCAGCCTTGCACCAAACACTCCACCCCAGCAGCTTTTCTGGATGAGTAGGGTTGGCTCTCCGGGAAGGAGGAAGGTTTCCAAGCAAAGGCTGAGGCTGGGATCACCCGTGGGACCCTTCCCATGTTCATCTGGGATGTTCAGCACAACCCACCTGAAGGTTGGGAGAGCTGGGGGGGTTCCCCTGGAGAAGAGAAGGCTCCAGGGAGAGTTGAGAGCCCCTGGCAGGGCCTGAAGGGGCTCCAGGAGAGGTGGAGAGGGACTGGGGACAAGGCATGGAGGGACAGGACACAGGGAATGGTTTCACATGGACAAAGCACAGGGTTAGATGGGATACTGGGAAGGAATTTCTGGCTGGGAGGGTGTGGAGGTCCTAGAATGAATTTCCCAGAAAAGCTGTGGCTGCCTCTGGATCCCTGGAAGTGTCCAAGACCAGGTTGGAGTAACCTGGGAGAGTGGAAGGTATCCCTGCCCATGGCAGGGGATGGAATTGGATAATCTTGAAGGTCCCTTCCCACCCAAACCATTCCAGGATTCCCTGCTCACAGTTGAACCGAGGGCACAGAGCTGGGAACAGCCCTCACCAACATCCCTTTCACCTTTTATAACCCTTTATTTGACAACTGCAAACACAAGGCAGCACTTTTATCCCATCTATGCCAGTTTTATCCCGCCTTCCTGGCCCTTGATTTTCCATTTGGAGCCTCCCAGGCCTTCCAAACTCACGAACCAGCTCCCAAACCCACATTTCAGCTGGTTTGTGGTCTCCTCAGGGCACAGTTTTGCCTCGCCGGCGTCGAGAGCGATCGGCCTCCAGTTGCTAAAACACTTAAAAAACGCTTCTGGCTCCCGAATCCCCGATTGCAAAACTCCTGGAGATCACTGGAGCAGACAGGGAAGCACCAGCAGGCCCTCCCCGTTCCATCCTCCAGAGAAATCTGTCATCCCTTCCCATCACCATCAAAGCAGGCCCAGCTTTCCAGCGAATTCCGACTCGGGATCAAACATCTTGGATTCGGGACGCTGAGCTGAACACGATCCACGGAGAAATATTCCCGATAAAGGTTTATTGCCAAAAAAGCCGGAGTTTCCTCCCCTCCTCCTGCCCCCCGAGAAACTCTTTCAAAGCAACTGCAGAGTTTTCACAGTCTCTGATCTTCTGTGAAAACTTTTTAAGCCCACACACGCTCCCAAAAACAAAATCTGCTGGGCTGTCTCTGCAGAGCTCCCTGTTCCGAGCCATTAACGGCTGAAAAAATTCCCAATAATTTTCATGTTCCTAATTTCAAATCCCTAATCGAGGAATGGCATTATGGGGACGTGGAAGGTCGACCTGGGACCACAAGAGAGTTTGTGGGAAATAAAGCCAAGCCCCCCCCAAAAAAACGTGCTGGGATTTGAAGCAAGGTATAAATGTAAGTGTAGGATAAGGAACAATATAATTATGACATAAATATATATGTTTTTTAAGGAAAAAAACAGACCATGTCTTTCACGCACACACCACAGCCCTACAAAAACATTCCTATTATTCAAAATCTTTCCAAAATAGCCAAGTCTATCAACCAGTCTGTGATTCCAGGGAATTCTCTCTCTGGCTGGTTTAACACACTGCACAATTTAATGTGTCTAATATTTACAGATTTAGATCTTTAACCAATATTTCGATATTTGGACATACCTAAAAATTGAGATTTCACACATCCCCTTTAGCAATGACTCGATTTTGTGAGCCAAAGCTGCAGCACCAACGTTCAAAAAACATAAATAAATCCTTGATTTTTGAGACCTGACCACGACCCGAGACCTTGGACCACCCCCTCAACGGGACTGATTTCGCCCCTGACATCTCCCCTAATCTTTTTTATGGTTTTTTTTTTTTTTTTAATGCCTTTTCATTTGCAAGAACAAAGGATTTATTCATCTTGTCCAAAAAATTTCCCAGTCCACCAAACATCAGCTTCCCAAATCTCGCTCCCGAATCTTGCACCGGGCACGTTCCCGGAGCTGGGAGCAGGGGGAGACCTGTCAGTCTCTGTAAACAGCCAAACACGCTCTCTGTTCTGCAAGAACTTTTGGGTTCAACAATTCCTGAAGCAAATTTAACCCATGGAAGCCAAGTTTTTCATGGAAATGTTCGACTGTGATGCCGCCAACACCAGGTTGGCCCAGATTAAGGGATGCTCTGCTCCGGCTTCGGATAATTTGGGATACAAGGATGTGAATCTCTGATCCTTGATGGTTTTTGATGTAAAGACACAAAAAAGCAGAGATGTATTTGATCCACAGGGAAGGGAAAAACCCTCCTAACTGAAATAGCAGCAATTCCAGACAACCTGAATTCAGGAATTCAGGAACCACCTCATGGGGTGGTGAGTTGATGTCCATGGATGAGCTGGGGTTGAGGAACATGGGACACACGACATGGAATCCACCAAGGCTCAGCTCCAGCAGAGGACACGGAGCACAGTGGGAGGGGTGTCTTCATGGGACACACATTCCAAGAAGGATCTGTTCTCCTTATGGGATAAAACTCTACTGCTGCCAGAAGTGTTAGTTCTGCATCTCCAGCTCTGGAGTCCTCAGGATAAGAAAGACACGGACTTCTTGGATCAAGCCCAGAGGAGGCCCCGGAGCTGTTGCCAGGGCCGGACCCCCTCTGCTCTGGAGCCAGGCTGGGAGAGCTGGGGGGGTTCCCCTGGAGAAGAGAAGGCTCCAGGGAGAGCTGAGAGTCCCTGGCAGGGCCTGAAGGGGCTCCAGGAGAGCTGGAGAGGGACTGGGGACAAGGCATGGAGGGACAGGACACAGGGAATGGCTTCCCAGTGCCAGAGGGCAGGAATAGATGGGATATTGGGAAGGAATTCCTGGCTGGGAGGGTGGGAAGGTCCTGTCCCAGGTTGGGCAGAGAAGCTGTGGCTGTCCCTGGATCCCTGGAAGTGTCCAAGGCCAGGTTGGAGCAACATGGGTTAGTGGAAGGTGTCCCTGTTGTAGATTTGCTATATCCTGTGTGGTCTCACTGTCCTTTGACTATCCCATGGCTTAACCTTGGGGGAAAAAATGATTGCATTCCTACAGTCAGGAGGGTTCCCAGGACACTGTAACCCTGGAATCGGCCAGAGGGTCCTGCCGACTTCGTGCTCTCACTCCAGCTCATGTGAGACCAAACAGGCTCTGTCTGGAACACAGAGGCGTTTCCCAGTGTCCAAGATGTCTCTTCCATAATTCCCAAACAAAAGGTGGAGGCTGACGGTACCTAAGGAAGACATTTCTCAGGCAGAGCCAAGAGAGCTCTCCGGGGTCGCTGCTCCAGCTCCCACAACTTTGTAAGGAATCTATCCCGCTCACTCAGAGGACTGCAACTTATTCCTAGAGCCAAGAATACCAAACATGAGGAATCTTGGCCGTGCCTCACACCTGCTGGTGTCCTGAACACCAAACTCCTTCTCCCGGGAGAAAAACTGCCTGGAATTTGTTTGTTTGTCCCTCAAAGTTGTCGAGAGGTTGTTTTTCCGAGGAGTGACGTCCTCCCTTAGAACTTCCCTACAAAGGAGCACCAGGGAGCCCAACTGGACCCAACCACTTCACAGGACACCTGTTTTGGGGACAAGAGGAAAAGAGGGATGATGCTGGTGGAGCTTGTCCTGCTGGACTCAACAGCAGCACAGAAGAAAAGCCGCTGAAAACGGGAAGAATCCGGCGGAGCTTTGTAGCCCTCTGGATGTCGTTTACTACAAAGGGAAGAGCTGGCACCGACTGGGCAGGCTGGGGAGCCGCTCACTGTGAAGTGCAAACCCTCCTGCAGCAACTGGACACTCATAAAACCCCAATCTGAGGCTTCTCCCAGTTTGTTTTCCAGCTGTACCCACTCCCGCGCTCCGGCTCCCTCCGCCTCTGGGAGGCATCTGTGCTCCAGCGGGACGAGGCTGGACCGGGATGTCTCCAAACTGGACAGTGCTCGTGGAGTTTGTGCTCTGGAGCTGCCAGAGCTCTCTCAAGCTGCTCCAAGGGTCAGAATCATCTCCACTGGAATTGAGTGTAGGAGCCAAAACCCTTCTGGCTTGTTCTTCCCTTTCAAAGCTCTTCCTGGAAATTTTGCCGCGGGGATGAAGGGATTGCTCCATAGGGGTGAGGAATAACGGGATCACCAGAACAGTTCGCCCAGCCTAGGTGGAGAACTCCACACCAGAACCTCCTGAAGGGCTTCCGAGAGGTACAAATTTACATTTATCCCACTTTTTCCAGCCTGTGAACCAGGATCAGGAGCTCTCCTGCCTAAACTTAAATCAGGACCACCCAGGATCATCCTGTTTCCCATTCTGAGGTTTTCTTGGAAGCAGAGAAGTAGAAGCCTCAGTAATCTCTGGTGGGCAGAACACAACCAAGGACACGTGTCCAGTGGGTGCAGCTGTGTCCCTCTACCCCACAAAGCACCCCAGAACATGGGGGGTTGTGCAGGAAATGAGATACCTGCACTCAGGACACTTCATATTAATAATTTTAAGCATTAAGGACCAACTTTGAAACCCAAATTCTGAATTAACAATATTCCTGCACAGATCAGGCAATCAGAAGGAGGAAGGGCTCCCACCAGAAGGTGAAAAGTGAGGAATGAATTCAGCAACCACGAAAAGTGAGAAGTTGCTTTTCTCCTTTCCTTAATAAAGTGTTTTTACCTTGACACACAAGTTTTCTTGCTGTGGTCCCTCACATTGTGTCCCCAGATCTTCTGAGGAGGTGAAGGGTGAGCAGCAACTGAGTGGGGGCTTAACCACAGACTGGGGTAAAACCACTACACCCAACATTCCTTCAGATTTGGAATTACAGAATCCTTCAGGTTGGAAAAGCCCTCTGAGATCATCCAGTCCAACCATCTCCCAGAACTGCCAAGGTCACCACTGATCCATGTCCCCAAGTGCCACATCCACAGGGATTTTAAATCTCTCCAGGGATGGGGATCCACCACCTCCCTGGGCAGCTGTGCCAGGGCTGGACAACCCTTCTGGTGAAGGAATCTTCCCCAGTATCCAACCTGACCCTCCCCTGGCACAGCTTGAGGCTGTTCCCTCTCCTCCTGTCCCTTGTTCCCTGGGAGCAGAGCCCGACTCCCCCCCCAGCTTCCCCCTCCTGTCAGGGACTTGCAGAGCCAGAAGGTCCCCCCTGAGCCTCCTTTTCTCCAGGCTGAGCCCCTCCAGCTCCCTCAGCTGCTCCTGCTGCTCCAGCCCCTTCCAACCTCTGTTCCCTTCCCTGCACATGCTCCAGCCCCTCAATGTCTTTCTTGTTGTGAGGGGCCCAAAACCTTACTGGCTCTGTTTCCATCTGAGAGATCCATTTGTACTAATAAATAAATAACCTTCTGTTCAAACAGGAAAAAAACCCAGGAGGTAGGAACATGGGGAACTCAGAACTCATCAGGGACCCTTTTCCCACTGAGGTAAATCTGGGAGAAGGGGACTCAGGGGTCTCCTGCCTGGGGGGCTCCAGGGAACACAAGGGGGTCCCAGGGACTGCACTTCATCACCACGGACAGCACCCACCCCTGCCAGGGCACTGGGACTGAGCCCTCCTGCCATCCACCACCACAGGGTCCCCCTGACTGTGGGGTCACCCCATCCCACCAGCCTGGTTTGGATCACACCCAGGGATGGGATTGTACCTGCCTCAAGATGGGGTGGAATCCTGGAATGGGATGGGTGAGAAGGGACCTTAAAGCTCATCCAGTTCCACGCCCTGCCAAGGGCAGGGACACCTTCCACTAGACCAGGTTGCTCCAACATGGTCTTGGACACTCCGAGGGATCCAGGGGCAGCCACAGCTTCTCTGCCCAACCTGGGACAGGGTCTCCTCACCCTCACAGCCAGGAATTCCTTCCCAATATCCCATCTATCCCTGCCCTCTGGCAGTGGGAAGCCATTCCCTGTGTCCTGTCCCTCCCTCCCTTGTCCCCAGTCCCTCTCCAGCTCTCCTGGAGCCCCTTCAGGCCCTGCCAGGGGCTCTCAGCTCTCCCTGGAGCCTTCTCTTCTCCAGGGGAACCCCCCCAGCTCTCCCAGCCTGGCTCCAGAGCAGAGGGGCTCCAGCCCTGGCAGTAGCTCCAGGGCCTCCTCTGGACTCCTTTAATTTTGCTGCAGGAGTGAACAGCCCCCCGAGATGGTTCCAGAGCAGTGAGAGGGCTCTGGGTTCACCCTACAACTCAGTCCCTGTGAAGTAAATTGTGATCTCAGTCTGCTCTGGACCCACAGCAGTGATGAAGAGGAGGGAATTATTTGCAGGGAAAAGGAGCACAGAACCACTTGACTGATCCTATTTTAAACTTCAGAAACTTGTTTTTTATCCCCTCCTCTGGCCAGTCATGAACTGTTCAAGTCCATGGTCAGGTTCAAGATGACAAATATCACCTCATTCAGGTTCAAGTTGTAGCTGAAATTATCATTTTCTTGACATGAGAGGCTTCAGCAAGAGGAGATAAAAAACACCCAGAGTGGCAGACACAACCTGCCAAAAGGTCCAGGGCAAGGCTGAAACCCAAGAAATCACGAGCACATCAAAAAGCTGAACACCCCATGTCCTGCCCTCCAGGTTTGGATCTCCAAGTTGCCTTTCCTACAACACAGGGCTCTGTTCCACATTATCCATCACAAATCCAAGGTGTCCTCACTCTGCACTATCCTCCAGCACAGGGAGCAAAGACAGAAGAACCAACCCTACCACAAGGTTCTGGTTTGTGGTTCCCAAACCCAAGGGAGTTCCAGCTCTAAGGAATCAGCAGCAGAAAGGGAGGCAAAGGAGGGAGCACAGCAAGGAATTACAATTGCTTTGAAAACTTCCACCCTGACAATCCTTTTCAGCCCAAAGTACATCTCTGCCACCCAGACAAAGTTTCAAAGAAAAGGTCAAGGATGTCTTGCACTAAGGAGTGATTTATCTTTTTAAGGAAGGATGGATCCAAACTGCCTTTTCCATAAGCACCCAAGTGCAACCTTTGAGCTGGGAGACAGACATGAGATGTCCAGTTCTCAACCCTTGGCCTCTCTGCTGAGCCTGGGAACAAGATCAGGGATAAAAA